TAATCATATGTGACATTATGCAAAATTGATCATAATCATATGTGACATTATGCAAATTTGATATATTAAAAGTGCATAGTTTGATTGAAAATAATAAGTCCGAATAGAGAAAGAAAAACAAAAACCAAGCTGAATATGATTATTAAAAATAATTGTAATATTAAGCTTTAATCTAATTAGAGAAAATTATATGCATGATTTAAGATGGAGAATAAGCTACTTATAGAAGTTAAAAGGTAAGAATCCTGAAAGGAAGGAAAATTATACCTACGTAATTAAATGGATAAGCCAATTAATGTGCACGCATTAAAAGAGAAATGAAAGTTACTCAATTAGCCTTGGTCCAAAATACTAATGAAAAGATGATCCAAGGGTTGTAATTCTTTCTCATTTCTCTCCCTAGATGATATTCTTATTTGAACCAATTCTCTCTCTCTCATATATATATATATATATATATATATATATATATATATATATATATATATATATATATATATACACACACACACACACACATATATATATGGCATAATGGAGGGAGAAAACATGAATTGGGGATTGTAATACATGATAAAAAATAGTTTTTTAAAGTATTCTCTTTGAAGTAGTTTTATAAAACTCTAACATTTAAATTCAATATTTCAATGTCCGTTACAAACAATACTAATTATTATTACGTAGCAAATTGCAATGGATGATGTTGACTAGGGGTGGAGATAAGGGAGGGTCAGGGTGGTTTGCCGACCCCGCTGAAAGCTTAAGAGTATAGAGCTTCGGAATATCTTCGGTTTAATTTATTATGGCCCCCGTAACTCATTACCAGTAAAAAATTGTGAATTCTGGAAAATCAGCATTATATAAACGTAAAATCAGCAAAGTTTGATGCATACTATGGATTATTTTTCCAAATTTTAGAAATGGGGTATAATTCACTTAATGCTTACGTGACACGACTCAGAAATAGAGCAAGACAGTCTATCTTATTGCTACGAGTACCTATTTATCTAAACTGCATATGAAATATTTAAGTCGAACATTGTTTAAAAACGATTCACGATCACCATTTTCATTCTGTATATAGGTTATTTTCTACCCCCCTAACCCGTTTTTCTGGCTCCGACATTTACCATTGTTTACTTTGAACTAGTATTTCACCCGTGCAACATGCGTTGCGCGGGATGTAATATGCACCTATTATACAGAGTAAAGTAATAGTTAATTACAAAGCATATATAAATGATACTCCCTCTGTCCCCTTTTAAATGGGACGGGAGATGGTGGCACGGGTTTTAAGAAAAGTGAGTTTGTGTGGTTGATATTAATTGATAAAGTAAGAATAAAGTAAGAATGATTTTGAGCCACACAAAGTTTACCAAATAAGGTATGGGACAATTAAATAGGGACATCCCAATATGGTAAAACGAGACATTTAAAAGGGGACGGAGGGAGTATTATTTATCACACGAATAGAGAAAGCGTAAATAGGAAATCTATAAATATAGTTAGGATTCTTAATAGGAAATACAAACTGCTCCAAAAGAAATACTCCCTCCGTCCCTAAATAAACTTCCATTTCGCTTTTCGAGAGTCAACTTAAATCACACTTAAACTCTTACTTTATATATCAAAAATTTATAAAAATTGAATTATTTTTTGCAGGCTTTGTAGCGGGTTTAATGTAGTTTCTGAATATGTAAATGTTATTTACTAAAAATAATCCGAGTTTTCACAGGGATTATTTAACTTTATCGCTGGTCAAACTTCGTAACCCGTAATTGGAAGTTTTATTAGGGACGGAGGTAGTACATAAATTATGGGAAAGCTTCAAACTAAAAACTTTTGTGAGGAGTACTTCAATAATCCACCAATAGAAAATGTCACTCCCCAAGACAAAGCAAAAGTTTGATCAATATAATGCCAATTCATGTACATCTGACTCCATGTGGAGCAAAAACTTGCTAAGAATTGCTACCAGTTGAATATCCCGGCCTATCAGCTCAACTCAATGCCAAATATTTGGCCAGCCACAACACCCAATTATTCATTTGCAATAACCCGTAAAAAGACAGCTCAATCTCCCAACAAATTAAAATGTCATAAATAAAAAGTCGGACGAAGATCTCCAAAACGAAATACAAACAGCTCCCAAAGAAATTAGAAGCTGAAACTCCTAATAAACACACTCCACACATGCCCAGCGAGACAAACTACCAAGCAAGTCAACAATCCAAAGGAACCAAGCAAACATAATTGTTTTTGTTTCAGTTTACCCAAGTGACACAAATTTTATTTTAACCAAGTTGTAAGAAATAGAAGTAAGATTACACAATAAAATAATAAAAATGCGTATCAGTAAGCAGTGAGCTTTCATACAGTTTATCACACAGCCAAATAGGACCTCAACACATAGGCCTAAACCCATAGCTCATTTAATCACGTAACATGCAGTCATATTGCTTCATAATACAAACATTTTACTCTATAGGGAATGTTGAGTTGATCACCAATGATCTTTTGTTGGTCATATCAAAGAAAGCTTCGCTAGCTAAGAAAGAAAAGGATCTTCTCAGACAGTTCATTTCCAAATCACATAAGTTGCCGGCATCATGCACTGGCTTTGCTTTTCTGAATGGAGGATGAATTCTTCAATGTATAACATAGAATTCAAATAGAACTTCATTTGCAGATAGAGTTGAGAAAAATAGATAGTAGCAGGACATAAACTACCTTTCTATATTAGGTGCTACCTCCGTCCCTTACAACTTTGTCAAGTTTGACCGGCACGGAGAATAATAAAATAAAAACTGTGTGGTTGAAATTTGTACAGTGAAGAGAGAAATAACAGGAACCACAAAATATTGATTAAAAGGGAAAGTGACGAAGTTTTTTGGGACGTCCAAAAAAGGAAAGATGACAAAGTTTTAAGGGACAGATGAAGTATTTAACTATTCTGAGAAATATATATATATATATATATATATATATATATATATATATATATATATATATATATTTTGGTTCAAATGAGAACGAGTCTTAACGTGAGAACGTGAGAACACATCTCAGCCATCCAAAATCAATAACCATCTGCGATCAAATGAAATGTAGGAAAGGACATTTCAGTCTTCTAACAATTACGTTATCTCACATGGTAATTATAAAAACTATCCATACGGATGAATTTTTTCATTTCCCTAAAAACTAGGTAATAACAAATCTCAAATCATATAAAATTTCTTTAGTTTAAAAATTGATTTAACTTCTTAAATAATGATCCGATTTTAACAAAAATTATACCAAATTAAATAACTTTTTATGCTCTTTCATATGACACCAATATGTCATATATAATTTTTAAAAATAAAATATGTATAAAATGTATACAATAAAGAATAACACACATTTCCAACTACTAGGTGCACAAGAGCATGTATCCAACACACATTAAGCCTTAATGTGAGAAATAAGAACACATCTCGGTCATCCAATATACACACTCAGTAGAGATGATATGATGAGAAGCTAAGGCAATTTCGTATCATACTTTTTGTGATGGTTGTAACTTGCACAATGTTGGCGTGTAACTTGCACATGTATTAATGACAATATTTTCCACTAATAAATGAATATAGTGCACATTATTAATCACATTCTAGGTTCCTCACCTAAATAAAAAAGCCACACTTGAACGAAAAATCAATTTGGAATATCACTACTATGTCATTCAAGTTCACTACTATTTCATTCACATGCACAAAAACTCTGCTTTAGCTATTTATTCACTACTGCCTATTAGCTTATGCACAAATAATATTTAATTAATTCTGCCTATTAGCTTATGCGAAAAAACACAAATTCCTTGCACAATATTGGTTTTCACATGCACAATATCAGACATAAAAAACTTCAACATATAAACAAACTCTACTAGCTGTCACTATTATTGGATTCACATGCACAAATACTCTTCTTTATTTCACTTTTGCTAATTAATCTCTTTTTTCTGAAAAAAAAAAAGCTTCACTCCAACTCAGACATCACACCAATATGCATTCATGTAAATAAATCCAACCCTTATCCCAAAAAAAAATGAAGGATGTGCAACAGCACAATTGCAATTCGATGATACACAAGAAAAAAATCTAGTCAAATACGTACATGTGCAATACCAAAACTATGCAATCGTTAATGGATTAACTCTATTTTTATGAGTGGAATTGGTGCGTGATTGTGGCTAATTTTTCGGGAAGTGGAAATTTAAACACGGTACCCATAATAGGTAGCTTTTTCCTGTTGTGACATTTCTACCCTTTAAGGACTTCACGTGTGCTGAAATTAGTTTCCATGATGCGTATTTATGTGACGCAGTGCACGATCGAACTGTGCATCTTCAACTTATATCACCGTTCATTCCACAAGATTAAGAGTCCGGATTTGTTCTCACTTCTCACGATAAGGAGTGTTCTCATTAGAACCACTCCCTATATATATATATATATACACACATAATTATGCCTTATATGAACTAATAGCAATACCACCCGGCAAGAAGCCACTTACGACTGCGAGAGAAGATACACGCCAACTTGAGCTACAATTAATTCTCATCATGACCTTGATTACAAAATTGGCTGCAAACGGTTCCAAAAAGATAAGGAACATCTAAGCATAACCAATTGATGGAAATGGAACAAATAATATAAAAACTAAGTTATTAGTTGAAAATTTTAAGCGAGTCATTGTTTTATTATGGAATGAAATGGATTAAAAAAAGATAATGAATATGTATATGGCAGCAAATAATTTTGTAGCAATGTTTCAGTCAAGTACAATGCCTTAATCTTCCCCATTAATTTTGACCTACCAGGTATGTTAGGCTATAATGTGATCATCGAGATTAAGCAAAGCCATACAAAGTGGAAACAAACTCAAAACCATTTTAATCTAGCAGTCCAGAAACTCAGAAAGTATCTTATTTCTCTTTATTACTCCTTGTACCATATCATAAGGGACAACCGCACTATCGATAAAATAACATAAACCGAGAAACGTATACGTAGTTCCTTGTGTGCTTACAAAGAAAGTAAAGATAAGCTTTTGATATTCTGATATCAATTCAAAAATGAGTTTACAAAGAAAAGCGTAATATATATATAAATAACATGTGTAAACACAGCATTTTAACTCCAAAAGTTGTTCAAGACTTCAAGAGACATCGGAGACCATTTATCCTCAAACTGCCTTTGTTCCAGCACTCTGAGATAACTTATAAGCTCTCTTAAACTTGGCTGTATCACTTCCAAACCTTCAGCTGCCTGGTTCATCATACCCAGAGCAACATTGATCCTATCCCGTATATGTTTATTCGCAAAAACTTCAGGAGGTCAGATTTCCTTCCAGCCTAAAAACCATTTGGTAACTTCTTCAAATTAAAGTTTGGGTTTAAACACAACCAATGGTACAGAACTTCTAGCCACTTGTTGAAGAAGATGCCAAAACGTTGAACCATGTGATGGATTGGAACATCAATAGCCCAAGTCTGTACCTAGTAAAACTGAACCAAAAAAGAACACTTTTAAGGTACTTTCAAAACATTGAAACACAGATTTATAGGAATTAAGGAATTATATTGAAATGATTATAAACTTCTACGGAGTTTTCTAAACATTCTCATTTCTATATTGACACTTCTCAGCTTGAAGAGTAACAGCTGAAATGAAATTAAGAAACAAATGAAAGAGTCAAAAAATCTTTTTTGTCCGAGACTACTTAGATCAGAAACGACCCAGCAGCAATGAAAAATTTAAGATTAATAAAACAAAGTCACCAAGAAGCACATTATGATAGGAAAATATTTAATTAAATATCAAACAATTAGTAAAATATCTAGTGTTCAATAAAATGCTGTGGTGAAGAAAAGTTCAAAAATCTCTAAATCTGACTTCCAATGTAGAAAAATCTTCTTAAAAAGTTAAAAGTGTTATTTCGTTGGAACAATTTACTCTTAACAAAATACTAAGCTTATTACAGTTTTGATGTTTATCTAAAATCAGTTTCATCAAAATGAGATATATCTGAATAAAAAATCGTACCAAAAACTCAATTACATCACAACTCAGTTTCATAAAAATAAAAAACAGCTCTTTTTTTAGTAAAACTATACTTACCCGAGTTACACATCTAATCTCAACTTTATCAGTTTCTAGAAGTCTTACGCTGATTTCATTAGAGAGTTTATACATTTAGTAATTGTTTATTCATGGATTTTTGTATGGTAGAGTTGGTCTATATTTATGTTCTGTCATTAAAAGAGAGGTTCCACCAACACTTTGACATAACTACGATATAGCTCCTAATAGTTCCTACTACTGCACTTATGTGAAATGTGAAAAATCTTCACCCAATGGTTACAATATGACTATTCATGATCTGTTTGTCTTAATTTTTGAAAATCGATTTTTTGCCCTAGTGGTGTGTTCTTCAACAGAAATCACAAAAGTGAACCTTAGACTTCCAAAAAACTACATTCAGAGTGTATGTAAGTATGTGAATAAATTTGAAATCGAGACTATTAGTCTGCTGCCATTAGTATTAACTAATAGAAATATAAAATGGTCCCATATTATGAGAATTACCTCGTTATTATTAGTAAAAATATTATTGATTTATTCACAAGTACAAATCAAAATCATGTATCTGGATGGTTTTTTATCTTACCGAAGGGTGGCAAGTGAACAATTAATTAATCACTTAAAATGTGTGGTAAATCTTTGTGTGTACTGTGTGCTGGTATGGTAGGATATACGTGTAAGTGAGATGAGAAAATAGAAATTATCAGGCCAAAAAGTGAAAACTAATTCTATATAGATAGAAGGTTAAAATTAACTCACATTAACTGAGCTATTGAAACTCACATACTTGACTGCAAACATAAAAAAGGGTAAGAACTCACTTAAGGCACCCTGTTACCTTACAGATTTCCTTTGTTTCCAGCAAGAGACACAAAGTGTTTTTGGATTCCCTGCAAGATTCAGAAATGACCTGTAGCATTTTTTTTGTATATAATCATCGTTGGATAGAAAGTCTTAGCATTAAAGTTACTAATGTAGAGGATTGTTATACAAATAAGTAATTGTGGTATAAAGCTAAAATGATTTCATACTCCCTATCATAGTTAAGACTTAAGATGGTGTTTTTTTTCAACAAACAAAAGAAACTCACTCTTTCTGCAAGACTATGGCTATCAGTATGTAGCTTGCCCCCCTCTTGCTCTAACATGAATATAGTCCTTTGATTTCTCAGAAAGCTTCTGATTTGGCTCACCATTTCCCAAAAATTTTAAAGAGCCATACATGACTCCTTCCATGGAGTCATATACCCTATGTGGCATCACCAACAGATTCATCACAATACATTTTTTAGTGGAGAACCCCACTAAAAAATGTGTGGTGATGGTGACGCCCACCTAAGCCATATGACTCCATAGGGAAGTCATATATGACTCCTTAAAACCTCTCCACCATTTCCTACATTATCTTTACTCTTCTGACTATTATTCCCATTCAGTTCAACTGCTGCTTGAACACCATATTATCATTGTAGCCACTCCTAGACACCTCTGTTTGTTTAGATGGTTTTGCATTTGAATAACCGCTTGGACCCCTTCAATTCGCTGCAATGTTTAAGGATAAATAACCACATTGAATAAGTATTAAAACATAAATAATACTCCATATAATGATACAAAATAGCATATAATGCTATATTGCTATGTATACTTGATCAGTCTGAACCAAAAGGATTGTACAAGAGAGTGATCAATGAAATATTCAAGAAAACGTATGAATATGTAATCAGGCAGATACTACTTACTGCCTTGCCATCTTCCTCGGATTTTCTCCCTGAGCTAGTTTTTCTTTTCCTGGGATTAATTTTGGCCGAGCTGCTCGGAGGCTGATCAGAGACAGACTGTTCTACATTGGGAATTGGGATGGTTGCCAGAGTTCGTAAAGAATCCAGGCTCGGATTTAAAAGAAAACTACATTTAAATATTTAATAAAAATAGAGAACATACCTTGGAGCTAAAGATGGCTTTGTACTATAAGTTCAAATTCACCATTCGAACATATACTATGAAGTCTTATAAACTGGTATATGACTGTACCTGCGTGTTTTACCTACATATTTAGAAGATCTTTTCTACTTCAACAAAAGCTATTGATAGCTGAAAACTAATTTATAGAAACACCTTAACTTCTATACTCCAAAGATCAACAAAGAAATATTAATTTTTAGATATTAAACTAACGGTGCAAAGGAAATAAGTTGAAGAAGCTGCGGGCTGTACCTTCAAATCAGAATCCCCTGGCCAAACCCGAAGAAACCTTATCTGTCTTCTTCTTCCAGAAGTCCGCATGCCATATACATCTTTCACAGTTGCACTTAACAGCAACTCATCATCCCTTCTTCCACCCAACTACACCCAGGAGTCTTTTTCAACCCAGTGAAATGCATCCTACCTCTTGCTTTCCCCGCATCAACCCACCTGCCTGATTGTGAGTATATGTTCGACAGCTCCACATAATGAGCCGGATTTCCTGCTTCAAGATTCATGAGATTCTTTAATGCCACCTCGGCTAACTCAACGTTAAAATGCATTCTAGCTGCACCAAGCAGCGCTCCCCAAACAGCACCGTCGGGTTCCATAGGCATTTTGTTGTTAATCAAATCCATGGTCTCATCAAATAACCCGGCACGGCCCAGCAAGTCTACCATGCACGCGTAGTGCTGCACACATGGGCTGAGTTGGTATTTCTTCTGCATAACGTTCCAGAACATGTTCTTGCCTTCCTCTACCATGCCTGCGTGCCTGCACACAGACAATATACTAATGAAGGAAAGAGAATCGATCTGTATCTCATTCTCCTCTTCCATGCACGAGAAGACCGAGAGAGCTAATTTGGCGCTTCCGTTCACGGAACACGCGGCAAGCATCACGTTCCAAGAAACTGTGTCCCGATTCTTCATCTCGTTGAATAACAGGACAGACATGTCGAGTTGCCCACATTTTCCGTACATGTCGATCATGCTATTTATGATAAGGGTATTGGATAAAAACCCTTTCTTGATAATGTACGTGTGTATCCCCATTCCTTCTTTTAGCAATGTGAGAGACGAAACAGCTGGCAAGATGGTAGCAATGGTGACATTGTTAGGCTGGAAAGGCGATAGTCTCATCATGTCAGAGAAGGTAGATATTGCTTTCTTGGCACATTCATTCTGAACATACCCAGTAATCATGGTATTCCATGAGATTTCGTCTTTATGGAAAGAGGAATTGTTAAACAGGAATTCAGAAGATGGGAGTTCCCCACATTTGGAATAGAAGTCAATGAGAGCGTTCGCCACATGGCGGTCCGACCCATGCCCGTATTTGATAACTTGACCGTGGATGCAAGTTCCGTGATGGATGTCACCCAGAACAGTGCAAGCAGGGAGGACGCCCACCATGGTTCCAGGATCTGGTTGTAGCCTGGATATCCTCATCATCGAAAACATCTCAAGTGCATCGTGGGACCTACCGGCCTGTGAGTATCCATTTATCAAAGCGTTCCATGTCACCACCTCTTTATATGGCATCTTACTAAAGACACCAAGAGCATAAGGAAATAAAAGACACTTGGCATACATGGATACCAAAGCAGTTCCGGTTGAAAGATCATAATCAGTATCTGTTTTAACTGCATAGCAATGAATGGATTTACCTGTTAATTTGGACATTAGTTCGCCGCAAGCGGGTAGAACGCTTACTAGGGTCACATTATTGGGAGGTAAGTTCTCATGTTGCATGTCTCGGAACACTGAGAGTGCTTCATTTGGATGTCCGGACTGGGCAAATGCCGATATGACCGCAGACCATGCAATTAAATCCCTTTCGTGTATCTCCCCAAACAATTCTTTAGTCTTCTCCAATTCTCCACACTTTGCATACATCGTCATAAGAGAAGTTGCAACCATAACGTCTGAATCCATCCTCTCTTGGATTATGTAATCATGAATCTCCTTACCTTTATCAAGATCCTGCACCTCACCCGCTCCTAATAGCGCACTTACAGCAGATACCTTGTTGATTTTCACATTTTCTGTTTGCATGTAACCAAACAAGTTTAGAACTTCATGAAAGTTTCCAGTATATGCATGACCAGAAAGTATTGTACCCCATGAAACATCATCTTTCACTCTCATCTGAATAAAAATTTGATGAGCTACACTGGAGTATCCGCATTTTGAGTATGTATCAATTAACCCATTATAGACAGAAATGGGACATTCCCTCCTATAAGCAAATGCATGGATGGGCTTGCAAATCTTCATATCCTTTAACTTGCAAATTGCTGGAAACAAGTTCAATAAGCTCACCGAATTGGGCTCAACTCTACAACTAAACTGCATGTACCTGAAAAGATCTAACGCATGGGAGTGCTCTGAACTATGAGAAAGCCCTGAAATCATTGCATTCCAAGCAACAACATCCTTTTTGGGCATTTCATCGAACACTTTCCTGGCACTCTTTAAATCGCTCGTTTTGCAATAGAGTGTAACAAGTCCAGTTCCAATAAAAACATCACATTCAAGATTCCTCCTAGATATATCATTATGAATACGAAGTCCCCTTTCCAAATCCAGCATCTCAGTGCAAGCTTTCAGCGCAAATGTGAACGTATACTTGTCTGGCTGAAATCCCCTCTCCATCATTAAATCGAACAGCTGGATAGCTTCTGGATACTGGTTGGTTGTGTTGTATGCTCTGAGCATCGAATTCCATAAAATCCCGGGAGCATTTTGCACAGAGTCGAAAATTAACCGCGACAAATCGCATCTTCCGAATGAAGCATAGAGGTTTATGAGGTGCGATTTGGTGCTGCAAGTGATCTCGAGGCCTGAGGTAATGAAGTGAGCATGAACTTGAAGGAGAGAATTGAGGTGTTTACAGGAAGCAAGAAGCGGGTGTTGGTGATCAGTTGATGGGCTGAAGAGAGAATGGAAGCTTCTCAGTAGTCTAAATCCATGTCTGCTGATCATCTTTATGGCAAAGGTGGTTTTAAATTTAATGGTCTACTGTCTACATTAGTTATGATCATCGTTAGAGAGAGAAAAGCCAGTCGGGTTGCCGCCAAGCCATTGAGGAGATGAAGAATAATACCTGTTGTTTACAGAAATGGCCAGTTAACCGGAATGTTTTTGGGTTTCTCCTGAAACTAAAAAATCGGAGAAAGAAGTCACTTTTTGTTATAAAATGGGCCAAATTACCAAATTGGTAAGAACAAAAAGAGGATCTTTGAACAAATTGGTAAAAAGAAAAAATCACTTGAGACATAATGGTAAAAAAAGAAATCCTAGTGATAAACTTAAGAATTTCTGACCTTTCATATTCTAAGTATCGTGAATTTGACATTTTTTACCTTTTACCTTGTTGTTGTTAGGGTTGTAAACGAATCAAATAATTTGTGCTCCATTCGCGATTTGAATTCGTATAAGACGATTCGAATTCGAAAAATTCAAATATAAATACAAATATGAATATTAAATTTGATTCGATTTGTTATCAAATACAAATAAGAATATCAGTGTATTCGATTCGAATATTAATCAAATATATTCGATTAATAATAATGATAATATTATTAATAATAATATTAATAATATTAGTAATAACATTATAATAACTTTTAAAAGATAGCAATACCCTAAAGTTTAGTTCATATATACATTTACGCATACAGATTCTAAATCTATTTGTAATAAATCAGAGTATAAATACGAATACAAATCGGATTTTTGGTTCAAATGTCTTTCAAATACAATACAAATAATTATGTATTCGATTCGCAGAATAAAAATAGAGTTGTCTGACTTTGATATATACAATTATCAACTTATTTCACACATTATAAGTGTAATTTCTTATATGTGTGTGTGTTAGTGTTTATTTCAAAAAGTTTGAAATAAATTTATATTTAAAAATGCGCAATCTAAAAATGCATTGATCCATTGAATTTAAATTCTAAAAGCACATATTAAATCATAGCGTACATTTACAACATAAAAAAATATAAGAAAATTTAATTTTAAGTGATATTTGACTAATATATAACCTATGCTCAAATCTATTCGATATTCGTATAAGATTCGTTAACTATTCGCATTGTTAAACAAATACAAATACAAATACAAATCGAAATTAATATTCGTTTCATATTTGAATTCGAATTCGTATTCGAAAAAATTAAACAAATACAAATACAAAATCTTACTATTCGACTCGATTCGGTTCGTATACAACCCTAGTTGTTGTCATCAAAAGTGGAAGTTTAAAAATGTTAAGAATCGTATTTGATAATAGCATTTATCTGGTAGCTAATAGCCGATTGAATAAGCATATTGATAATAGCAAATTCTGCTAGCTTTTATAACTAACCGTTTTCATTAGCGTTTGAAATAAAATGTTAGTAACTTAACTGTTTGTGATTAAATGATAAGACATAAAATGACCATTAAATATATGAATTAATGGTCATTTTAGGGTCATTAAAATGATAAGACGTAATATGAACTTAGCTTTTAGGGTTTAGGTTTAGAGTTTAGGGTTTAGGGGGTTTAGGGTTTTGGTTTTAGGGTTTAGGGTCATTTTTAAAATATTATCGTATTACTAAAAAATATGAAATTATATGTGTGTGCTCGCATTAAGGTACATATCTTAAAAATGATATTGTTAGTAATTATTTAAAATAAACGTAAACTTAATTTTTGAATTTTTTTCAAAACTTATTAAAAGTAAAAAGAAATAAAATTAATTTAAATATATAAACTTTTAAATTCATTTGTAATGATCATTTTATGTATGAAAACCTAATTGCAAAATTTAAGTTACCAACATTTTATTTCAAACCGCTAATGAAAGTGGTTAGTTATAAAAGCTAACGAAATCCGCTATTATTAATATTCTGATTCAACCTGTTATTAACTATAAGACAAATGCTATTATCAAACACGGTCGTTGACATTTTTAGACTTGCACTTTTGATGACAACAACAAAGTAAAAAGACCGAAAATGTCAAATTCACGATACTTTGAATATGAAAAGTCGGGAATTCTAAAGTCGAGGATCAAAAGTTTATGAAATAATTACATAAATATGACCAAAATAAAGATGATTTACAAAAATATGATTATTTACTAGAGTAGTAATGAAATCATAGTAATTCATGTTCAAGTTTTGAGCTTAAGTTACCACAACACCACATTGTAGTAATGAATAGTCATATTTATGTAAATATATTTTATTTTAGTAATATTCTTGTAAAAAACCCAAAGTTTATCACTCACAAAAAATTGACCTATTTGTCACTATGACTTGTTTTTTACCAATATGTCTCAAGTGATTGTTTTTTTACCAATTTGTCCAAAGACCCTCTTTTTTCGATTTGGTAATTTGGCCTTATAAAATACAAGGAAATAAGGCCAAATTACCAAATCAATGTATATTAGATGTGTGATCATGGTGTGTTAGTTACAATGGGACTGACTCCTATTTATAGGAGAAAGTGTGAGCTCAATGAGATTAGGAGATCATTGTGAGTCACACATTTATGACCTTAAAATCATAATTATGATTTCCTAATTATTTATATAATGGTGATAATAATTCCTAATCAGCAATAGTAGGAGGATGACTAATTCAATTATATTTAAACACTCCTATTGAATGGTCATCTTCTAATTGTTTTGGGATATTAGTTTCATAGTATTATAATGTGATGTCTCGGGGACAATGTAAGGATAATAAGCTAAATCTCCTCCACTCATCATTGCAAATTGATCGGCGGCCTCTATTGGTGTGTCCGTCACGCCCGGCCGCCAATGCTGCAACACAACAAGCATGAAATATACCAATCGCTCGACGAATTATTTATGTAAAATGGCTAATACTTCACAAGAGCTATCCTAATTAGGAAAATCAAATGTATGGACAAGCAGTGTTTCCTACTTGTAATCAGGGATTATAAAGGGATCAAATCTAATAATACTCGAGGAAATTAAGGACTTATTAGCAATTGTTTAATTAAAAGTATATATATGAATGACTTTACAGTTTCTGTATAACTATGAACCATTTGTTCTATTACTTGAAATTACTAGATCTTTTCTCTTTCAGTCTTGTATCCCTTTATCTTTTGGTTTGATTGCATTATGGCTGCAGTTCATATCATTAACAGGTTACCTACCAACTATTGTTCTGAAAGGTAAAAGTGCTTTTGAAAACTTATGCGGCAATCCACCTGACTGTTCTCAGTTAAGAGCCTGTCTATTCTCAGTTAAGAGCCTTTGGGATAAATTTGAGCATACAGCTTCTAAATGTGTTTTCATAGGTTACCCTTTAGGATATAAAGGCTATAAGCTATATGATTTAATCACACACAACGTGTTTAGATCTAGAAATGTCAAATTTTATGCAAATGTTTTCCTTATAAAGATCAGTTAACTGCCTCTGGAATCCCATATCTAGCAGCCTATCAGTTTCATATAGAATTAAAACCTAGACGAAGAACAAATTTCCAGTTAACAAGATCTGATAGACTTTGTTTGGTTAAGGAGAAATAGGAGAAAAATATATACAGGGGGGAGAAAGTGAATTTTTATAGTTGTTCAGTGAGCAAAAATAGGGCATTGATGAAAAAGGTTGGGCACTTCCATTTTAAGAGCATCTCTAATGCCAAAATGTGCACGGTGCACATGTGGCATGAGTGATAGCCACATAAATATTAGCAAATAAATTATTTCTCTCCTTATTTGAATGATTTTATACAATTTTGGTAAGTTTTTCTCTGCAATGTCAACTGCAATGTCAACATTTAGACGGTCTCCTTGACATTGTGGAGAAAAACTTACTAAATCTGTATAAAATCATTAAAATAAGAAGAGAAAGAATTTAGTTACTAATATTATGTGGCTATCTCTCATGACACGTGTGCACCGTGCACATTTTATCATTGGAGATGCTCTAATTTTTCTCCCTCATGGAGAGAATTGATATGCACTAATTAGTAGTGCATAAGTGTATGTTTTTATGTTTGATTTGTGTGTATTGTTTATCGTTTTATTTAGTTTGTAAACATTTATGTGATTTTAGTTGTAATTGTATTTTAATCTTCATTTGTAAGTTGTAAAGTAGAGTTAGGAATTAGGGTGTTGAAAAGGAGGAGTTTGAAGTGAAGAAAAAGGTGATAAGTGTGTCCAGGAGCACAAACCCGGTCGGGTTAGACCATGCACCCGGTCGGGTCTGATGTAAAATCCGAAACTGCCTGGAAAATCATCAGACCCGGTCGGGTCCCCTACTTGACCCGGTCGGGTCAGACTTGACTCGGGACACCAGAACGTGCCGAAGATCACCAGAACGTGGAGGATATCTGATTTTGACTGGACCCGGTCGGGTAGGGACCTAACCCGGTCGGGTACCCGGCCCAAGGTGTTGAAAAACACCTATAAATAACCCCATTTTCCTTCACAAAGAATAATCCCTTCTTCCATACTCTTAAGCTCAGTTTAGAATAGTATTTCTTTTATATTTTTATAGTATGTTTAGTCTCCAAATGAGGAGCTAAACTTCCATTTCTTGGTGTTGCTCTTGAAGCTTGTTGATTATTAAAGTTGTGAGTTATTTTCTTAACTTCTTCCCTTGAATATTAATTATTTTCTTAATCTATCTATATATTAATGTTGGGGAGTGTTGCTAAGATGACAATTAGTTAACATCTCGACATTAGTTATAATAGTATTTATTTTCTTCCTCTATATATTAATGTTGGGGAGTGTTACTAAGATGACAATTAGATAACATCTTGACATTAGTTATAGTAGGATTATTCATATTTAATCTTCTTCCTTGAATATTAATTCTTCCCTTAATCTATCTCTATGTTAATGTTGGGGAGTGTTACTAAGATGACAATTAGTTAACATCTCAACATTAATTACTACTAGAAACGTTCAACGAACCGATGGTTAATCGTTGATGGTTTCACAAGTAAGTAACTTCGGTTTATTAATGCACGGTCATGGTTAATAAACTTAAGAGGGATTAATTTTGTTGGTTAAACCGAAACCGTTGTGTTGAGGTTATCAATCTCAATTGATTTCATCAAGGAGTTAAAAGATTAAATGCTACTATCAAGTCGGTATATGACGGTGTTC